ATATCTGAAATGTCAGAAATTGAGTTCAGAATCTGGATAGGGAGTAAGATCAATAGGGTGGAGGAAAAGAGGGAGCTAGAATTTCAAATCATTCAAAAGCTGTCCCAGGAATTTAATGATTTCAAAGATAAAATGATCAAGGATTACGATACTCTGAAACAAAGAGGTTGCAGATTTGAAGAGCACCCTTGAATCCCTTCATCAGAGAATGGACGAGGCAGAAGACAGAATCTCTGACACTGAAGACAAAGACTTTGAACGCACCCAGACTTCCAAAGATTTTGACAGATGGAGAACAAAGACAGATCTCTCACTCAGAGAGATCTTGGATAATTAGAAGAAAACTAATATTCGCCTGATAGGAATCCCTGATGGTGACGAAGTTGCCTCACAAAACACAGAGGCTCTCCTTAACGAAATTATGAAAGAGAACTTTCCAGACATGCCAAGGGATCCTGAAATTCAGATAGCAGACTGCTTCAGAACCCCAGCACGACTCAACCCGAAAAAGACATCCCCCAGGCATATCATAATCAACTTTACTAAAGTTAACATGAAAGAGAAAATCCTGAAAGCAGCTAGACGCAAGAAAACATTAACTTACAAGGGGAAGAATATTATTAGAATGACTACAGATCTCTCTGCTGAAAACTTTCAGGCTAGAAGAGAGTGGTCATCAACCTTCAACCTCCTAAAACAAAACAACTTTCAACCCAGAATCCTCTATCCAGCTAAACTGAGCTTCATTTATGATGGAGAAATTAAATACTTTAATGATATTCACATGCTGAAGAAATTTGCCATTACTAAGCCAGCCCTCCAGGATATCCTCAAACCTATCCTCCATAAAGACCAATGCAATCCTCCACCACACAAATAAACACACCCAGAAAATTTTGACTAAATTCCAATCTCCACAGTCACAAAAGGATCAAAGATGTCTAATGAACCTTCAAAAAACTCGACACCCAAAATTATGCCAGGATTATCAATAGTGTCAATCAATGTAAATGGCTTAAACTGCCCTCTAAAGAGACACAGGCTGGCTGACTGGATACAAAAACTCAAACCAGATATCTTTTGCATTCAGGAAACACACCTTATTTTAAAAGATAAGCATAGACTCAGGATGAAGGGATGGTCATCTATTTTCCAGGCTAATGGAAAGCAGAAAAATGCAGGTGTT